GGTATCGGGATTTAACTCAGGCAGGCAGCGGAACCCCTGAGCTAAATCTCCAGCCCCAGTGTCCCCTTGAGTGTGCTTCCCTGCTGAAGACACGGAAGAATCAGGCTGAGGGTTCTTCCAGCACTGTGCCTGCCTGTCTGCTCCATGGTTCCAGTCCAGCCCTAGCACTGGAGCATGGGAGAGGCTGCTCTCATGTGGTGTGGCTCCTAATGTAAGCTCACCGTGCGAATGAGCCCTTCCCCACGTTTAGTACCAGAGGTAGAACTCAGGACCTTGTGCTTGTGAGGCAGGTGCAGTGCCACTGAGCTAAATCCCCAGCCGTTGTTTTTATTTTTCGAGACAGGGTCTAGCAATGTAGCTCAGGCTTACCTCAAACCTGAAGCAGTCCTTCTGCCTCAGCCTTCCATATCTTGGGATTATAGCCATATGCCATCATGCTTGGCTGAGCCCTTTTATTAAAGCTGCATCCTTTTCCCCTGGGCCTGTGAGCATAGAACTGATTCCTAGGATTTAGGGTGTCCTCCCTCACCTTCCCTGGCTCCTTTGTCTAGGGAAGCACAGGTGCTTTACAAAGCAGCAGGCTGGTGCAGCCCTTCTGTGGTGTGAGACCCTGTGGCCTGGGGTCCCACCTCACAGGAGTGGGGCACAGAGGTGACTGCAGTTCAGATGCCCCTCTTGTCCGCAGGGCCCTCCCTGTGCCTCCACCTGCCCTGAGACCTTGCTGCCCGGGAGAGGGGAACCAGTGTGTGGGCCCTGTGTGGGCCCGACAGCCGCCTTGGGGCCACGGACCGCAGATCAGGTCTCGCATGGCCTTGGAACACCCCGACTGCCTCCTTGTGGTGACAGCGGCTCCTGGCCGGCTGGCACACTTAGCCCAGCCTCAGGTAGTGCTGGGTGTCTGTCTGTTTGGAGATGCCCTGTGCAGCCCACTGGTCCATGGGTCCATCATGTGTCTTCAATCAAGACATGTTAGTCCTCCAGCTTTCTCCTTCCAAACTTTGTTGTGCCCTTCCTGGGTTCTCCATCTTTCTGGGTGAGCTCTAGAATTTGTGCTCAGAAGTCTGTTGCTCTGTGGCTGGGGCGGTGTGGGCAGAGCTGGCTGTGTGGTGGTAGGGCCTCTTCATCCCAAGTCCTGGGTGCACCTCAGGATCTGTCTTGTTCTGCGTGCCCTCTCATCTTCACTTAGCTGGGAGGACGACACCGGGGATTTAGCTCAGTGGTTCTGCTGCCAGCTTCTCAAGTGCAAGGTCCTGAGTTCAATCCCCCCATACCACCCCTCCCCCCCAAAAAAAAGTCACCTTGACTTAGCATCTTTGTGTTCTCTGTGCCTAACAGACCTCACTAGGCCTGGGGACCTCCAGTGCTTGGTGGAGCTGCCTAGGCCGCTTGTCCCAAGGGTCACAGTCCAGGTGAGCCCAGGTCTCCTTCCAGGAGGTGCTGCCATGGTCCAAGGCCCCTCTGCCCAGGGGGTGCTGCCTGAGGGAGGCAGGCGGGGCTATGCTGTGGGTGGAACAATAGGTGGGGCCATAACTGGCCTATAGCTGCATGGATTGGATAGTCTACACTGGGTAGGCGGGGCCTATGCTTGGTGCTGTCCATGTAAGACTGGAAGAGGCTGGGGTCCTGAACCACAGTTCCTCAGTGCTGTGTCCCGAGCCAGTATTAGGTGATCAGGTGGACCAGAGCCCAGGGCACAGGTGTAACTGTGTGGCTGTGTCCTAGTGGCCATGACAAGCTTGTCCTGCCCAAGTGCCCACCATCCAGGCTGCTCCGTGGTGGGTTCTTCCCCAGTAGGAGATGGCGCAGACCCAGAGGGGAATGACATGTCCCAAACACTGCACGCCTGTGAGGGTGGCTAGGCCAGGTGCAGTGAGCTGGTGACAGAACCCCCAGCTCTTAGAGCAGTTGGCCGGCAGCAAAGCTGGGAGAGTGTTGCTCCTGGTCTGAGACTGCCAGACGGATTTCTTTCCTTCTTGGGGCTTTGGTCCTTTTTCCCATTCGTTTCTTGGATTGGGCAGGGCCTGCCTGGTTTGGAATTGCAGTCTGCTTTCCTCAACACTGAGTGAGGTACTGCTCTCATCTAAGCAGTAACCCCACAGAGTGTCCCTGTGTGGTCCCGACAGGGTCCCCAGAGGCGGGAGCCAGCCTTGGAAGGCTCTGTGGGCAGGCTGAAGGGCACCTCCCTCCCTCAGGCACACTCTACAGTCTGGGCCAGTCCAGGCACAGCAGCCCTGTTCCCTGCTCGTGAGGAGCCTCACTGTGCAGGGTGTGAGCGGCCGGGCGAGGGCTGGGCAGCCCTCCCCTCCCTGTCCATCTGGACTGTGGCTGAGCGCCAGGAGCGGCAGGGCAGAAGAGCTTGATTTTGGAAGCAACAAAAAAGTGGCGGTTGTTAACCCCTGCAGTTTCAGTCCCCGCAGCAGCCCAGATCCTGCCAGGTGGCGGGGTGGAGGGTTCACCATGGCACGGGCGGGCTCTCACTTGCTCTCTCTCTCCGCAGCAGCAAGCCCTCTGCACATGCTGGCCACCCACGCGTCGGCCTCGGCTTCCCTGCCCACGAAGCGGCAGAATGGTGACCAGGCTGAGCAGCCAGAGCTGAAGCGGATCAAGACAGAAGATGGCGAGAGCCTTGTCCTCGCCCTGAGTGTGGATGCGCCCCCGGCGGCCGTGGGGGAATAGCAGGTGCAGAGCCAGTGGCCAGGGGGCTTTGCTCACGACATCAGCCTGTGGTGCCAAAGGAGACGTCGTCGCCTCTTGCCAACGCGGACGGCTCGTCAGTGGGCGAAGGCCCTGCAGTGGGATTGTGAGTGCTCAGCACTTGGCACTGCACACACAGACCCGGGCGGCCTTAGCACCTCGCCGTAGACAGCAGTCACACTCGGGCACCAGCATGGCATCTTGACTCCCTGCGGGGCGCGGCCTGCGGGCTCCACTGTCCACCTCAACCGAGCGCCCGTCTGCCCCGACAGCTGCTGGGCGTGCTCGGGGGCAGGGCCAGGCCACCCTGCTGCCCCCACCAGACCCACCTGTGGCCAGGAGACAAGACAGTATTTTGTCATCCACATGTGGAATTAGAATATTTTGAGGTGTACTTTCTTTACAGAACAATGGGGTCTTTGACATTTCACATCACTCCATTTCTACTCTGGAAAGTTTGGCATCACAGGACCTCCATCTGGATTCGTCTGGGTTTGCAGCAGCTTTTGTCACTGTCCATTTCTGTGGTGGGCTCAGCCCTGCACGGCTCATGTGCACTGCGTGGCGTCAGGTGCACTGCCCCGGACACCTGCACATTCTGCGAGTCAGATGCGACTTCAAGGTGCCACGCGGCTGCACACCTGCTGGCTCTCGGTGTGTGTGTGTGTGTGTGTTGACTTTGTCCCTGGCATAATTTTCCACAGTAAGACAAGTCTCCTAAGTGTTGTGTGCGTAGCAGCAGGACCCTGTTGGAGGAAGATGCAGTCTGGATCACACCCCCTTTCGGGAAGAGCGCACAGACCCCTCCGGTGTGATTGGCCCTTGCTCCCCGCTGATGCGACCACCACTCCCCAGGGCACCTGGAGGTTCCCCCAACTTTGCTGAACTGAGTCCGACACTTACGCTGACTTCTCTCCTGCCAGGGGGTGCCTGGAGGCTTGGAGCAGGCAGAGTGTGAGGCCCCCGGCCCCTGCCTCTCCAGGCACAGCAGTGCAGACAGGGCTGCAGCCTTATTGTGAATTTTTTAATGTCATCATCATAGTGTTATTTATTTAAATGTAGTTGCTTTGGTATTTAATTTTTTTTTTTAAGAGGAAAAAAAAAAAACCCCTGTATTTTCCTGATGGAATGAAATGGCTCAGAATGGTATATTTAGGCAATTTAAAAACATTTCTTATTTACATAAAGACCAAATATGATGAATCTGTCCTAAGTATTGTGTCACCGTCTCGAGCTGTTGCCGTGTACTGCAGATGATGCGTGTGAGTCACAAGGTCACTGGAACTCAGCCTCAGCCGTGTGCAAATAAAGTGAGACATCCTGTGAGTGAGCCGTGTGTGATGCTTGCACGCAGCCCCCAGGCCCGGCAGATGCCTCCTGCAGAAGGTCCGCTGTTTGCAGAATGACCTGGACCTGGGGCAGCCTGCAGGACCGGCAGGCCCTCCTCGGTGAGCTGTCTACACCCTGAGCTCAGGTGGCCAGGCTTTCCCGAGTAAGGGTGGGAGGAGGAGCCTTCGCTCTGAGGCTGCAGTCTCTGCCTCCTCGCCTCTCTGCTTTGACACGTAGGAATTTAACGCTGTCACTGAGCGGACAGAACCTGGACCCCGGATTAGCAAACAGCTGTGCCCACGTTTTCCTCTGGGCCTTGAGAGCGCTGTGTAACATCTCGTGGTTCTGAGTCTCTGGGAGCCGTGTGGGGAGATTGGCCTTTCGGGCACAGGCACGTCGCAGGCTGTGCCAGCTGTCCAAGTGGCTCCTCAGTGTCTTTCCCAAGCGGTCCCTGCCCTCCACGAACTTCGACGAAGCTCCTCTGGGACTCGGAACTTCAGCGTGAGTCTCTCTGCCCCAACCTGTGAGAACAGAGGGAAGACCCAGCACGAGAGCCGTGTGCGTCGGTGGCTCTTCTTCCAGCCGCTGACAGCTATGCCCGCTGCTGGGAGCACCAGTGTGGCACCCGAGACCACTGCTGTTGGAGCGTGTGGAGGGGGATTTGTGTGCAGAGATGTGAAATTTTTAAAAAGTACCAAGTTCCTGAAATTCAATAAAATATTTTTATTAATTTTAATCGAATACGGAGTGTCGCTGTCATTGTGGTGAGCTTTCTGCACTCTTCTGAGCACAGTCCAGGGCATTCTGTCTGCAGCCACTGTTCAACTGGAGCTGGAGGTGCGGAGTTGTAGTGGTCACTGCCTCTTCTGCAGATGCCCTCCAACCTGAAGGTCGACTGAGATGGGCGAGGGAGGTCCCCAAAATGCCACAGGGGCCCTGGATGCTGTTGTCCCCACCAGGCCTGGAGTCCTGTGCTCAGTAGTGAGAGCCGGAGGAGGCCCCATGTGAGAGACCCAGCTCTCAGCTGTGGAAGTGCAGCCACCATGTTGTCCGCCACCTCCCAGGTGCTGGGAGATGGTCACTGGTTTCACTGCTGCAGTGACCCTGGACGGAGCCACAGGTGGATGAGAGGCACTGTGGGTGACAATGGCCACAGGGACACGGGCAAGGCCTGCAGCCCCCTCCACCCCTCTGGCAGTGTAGGCGAAAGTAGCCACAACTCCCAGGCTCTGGACAACCTGGACAACCAGCTTGTGGCTGCTGCCCTGTGCACGGACACAGACCTGGGCGACAGGTGCTGCCAGGGGTCCAGGACCTCTGCCCCTCACCGGCTAAAACACAGCTGCCCATATGCAGAGACCACCCAGGTCTGCAGAGAGCTGGAAGCCACAGTAGTGTGGCTAGCACTTCCGGTGTTGCTGGCCTGCATGGTGTTACTGGATACAGGTGTGGGCAAAAGTCCCAGAAGCATAGCCTGGAGAGGGGCCCTCAGCACACTACTGCTGCAGGCGACGCTGATGACCTGGAGGGCCTCTACTCCATTACCGGCAGAGGGCAGTTCCCATCGCTGCTCCCGATTCCCTTTTCCCTCCCCGGGCGGAGCTGCACAGTTGAGCACTGGACGAGCACGGGGTGTGGGGGGCTGGGCCCAGCCTCCTACCAGACTTGGGGAGACCAGGTGAGGAGGAGTCAGAGAAAGCGCCTCTGAGCTATGCATGGTGCTACACCTGGCACTTGAGGCTGCAGGCAGCGCTGACCCGAGGGACTCCAGATGTGCTGGAGTCACAGGCAGCCCAGCAGGAAAAGCCCTGAGTGCTCTTCAGAGAGCGAGACAGCCTGGGGGTGCTGAGCAGAAGTCCACCCTGCCCCATGTTGCATACCTAGCAAGCATCACACAGTTATAGCCATGCTCGGAAAGGAGAGGAAAGTGCTCCGGGAACGAATGGTTACAGAGCCTGAGCGGAAGGAGGCCCTCGGGTGGTAGAGCAGCATTTGGAAGCCATCAGCCAGGACTCGGCACAAGTGTCCGCCTGTGTGCCACTGGGCTCTGGGGAGGGTGCTGACACCAAACATTTTAAAGAAGTTCCTTCAACACTTTATTAAAGACAAATTCAAAACCTGGGTGTTGTGAAGCGCAAGGACCTGAGTTCAATCCCCGGTACCAAAACAAAAAAACAAAAAACAAACACACAAAAAACCAGGGTGCTGTGAAATCCAGCCAGAATAAACTGAAAATTCTGTTGAGGCCAGGTGTGCTGGTGCACACCGTGGGAGGCTGAGGCAAGAGGGATCACAAATTTTGTGCATCCTGGACAATTTACTGAGAACCTGTCTCAATATTGTGGGGACTTGGGTTCAATTTCCTGTGCCATAAATAAAATTATTTTTAAAATATGGAGAAAGCTTTCAATAATTACATGAAACTTAAGTAGTCTTGACACACTAAAGATATTGTCAAGTTGGACTTTTTTTTTTCTTTTCTTTGAGACAGGGTCTCACTATGTATTTGAGACTTACCTGGAACTCACTATGTAGCCCAGGCTGATACTGAACTCACAGCAATCCTCCTGCCTCAGCCTCCCAAGTGCTGGGATTACAGGCATGTGCCCCCAGGCCCAGCTGGACTTTTTTTTAAAAAGCCCCAATTTGCTGCCCAACAAGTAACAAGATGGTTAGAAGTAAATGACAGGGCTGGGGATTTAGCTGAGTGGCTGCATCAGCCTCACAAGTGCAAGGTCCTGAGTTTGATCCCCAGTACAAGGAAAAAAAAGAATTGAACCGTAGCAACTGTGTCTCAGTCTCATCAAGAGCTGAGCTGAGGAACAGAGCTCAGGGGTAGAGAAGGTCAGGGGTAAAGAAGGACATCACAGCCCAGCATGCTGGTGTTCACCTGTAATTGCAGCACTCTGGAGGCTGAGGCAGGATGTTGAGGATGGTGAGTTTAAGGCTCAGCCCAGCAACCTAGAGAGTTCAAGGTCAGGCTGGACTTTACAGCAAAACTTGTGTCAGAAAATCGGCGAAAGACCCTGGTGGGTTCAGTGCACAGAGTGCAGCTGTCCCGGTGCCCAGGCACCTCCCACTGCTGTATGGATAGGGCCGGGCATGAGGAAGCCCCAGCTCCACTAGTGAGCAAAGGGAGGGAAACTGAGACCCAAGGGGCCCCCAAATCCATGTGCCATCGTACCCATGCCCTTCAGCAGACTGATGGGCAGTCCTCGGGGACAGAACACCTGAAGCAGGAATTAGGAGCCACAGGGCACCGGGGATCAGACTCAGGGCCTTGCACTTGTGAGGCAGGCTTAGTGCCACTGAGCTACATCCCCAGCCCAGGTGTTCTTAAATCTTCAAATGCTTGGAAATTAGATGACATATTTCAAAATAATCCACGAGTCAGAGGGAGTCTGCTGCAATTGCAGTAGAAGGAACATGAAAAATATATCATATTAGTGAAATGTACCCAAAATAGAGTTCACGTGGAATTTTATAGAAATAATGCATATTAGAAAAGAGGTCTAGCTGGGTGTGGTGGTGCACACCTGTAACCCCAGCTCTCAGGAAACTGAGGCAGGAAGATCACTGCAAGTTTGAGGCCAGCCTGGGCTACATAGTGAGACCCTGTATTCTTAACATACAAAAAAGAAAGGAGGGGGGAGGGAGAGAGAGAGGAATATAGGTCTAAATCTAAAATTTAAATTTCCGTTTTAAATTAATAAGGAACAAGCTAAATCCAGAATAATCAATAATATGGAAAAAATCATAAAATTGAGGGAATGAAATTAACAAAATTAAAGTTGATTCCTTGAAAAAAAAAAAGTCTGGGGCTCAGGATTTAGCTCGGTGGCACGATGCCTGCCTTGCAAGCACGAGGTCCTGAAGTTCCATCCCTGGTACCAAGAAAAGAATGTCTAGCCAGAATGACCAAGGGAAGAGGGCATACATGACCACCATCAGAAAAGAGACCCCAGGGCAAACCCCACTGTTCTGAGCCAGGAGCAGGGGTACACACCTGTGATCCTGGCACTCTGGGAGGCTGAGGGAAGTTCACTGCCGTGAATTCAAGGCCGAGACCCTGTCTCAAACAAACAAAATCCCATTATTCTAATCAGCCTGTTGGCCCTGCTGGTAAGGAGACAGGGCAGCCAGACCCAGAGGGAGGGCCCTGCCGGCTGCAGAAGGCCGTCCTCGCAGTGCAGTGGAGATGGGGCCCTGCTCCTGGGATACCACAGGGAACAGAAGGACCAGGGGGACCCACTGGTGCCATCGGTGCAGTGGGGCCAGGTCTCCACGATCATGGCTGGGCCAGTGGAGCAAGCCGTGGACCCGCATCTCTGAGACAGGGGAGCTGCATGAAAACTGCCCTGGGCTCCACAAGCCAGCAGGCCAGGTGGATTCAGAGGAGGAAGGACAAGCAGGCTTACGTGCTAAAGAAACTTGGGGTCTGGCCCCTCCCAGCAGACTTGGGAGCCTGAGAATGGGCTGGGGCTCAGACAGTGCCACCTCCATCACCTGCCCTGAGCCCATGGGCAGTGCCTCATGTTCCTGGGTGGGTAACAAGAACCAAGGGTAGGGCCAAGGGCTACTGCAAAAGCCGTGCCACCCAGCCCAGGAGTTTTCCTGGGGGTGTGGGTCATGGGATTTGATTGACAATTCTTTGTTTGGTGGGGAGGTACCAGGGACCAAACTCAGGACCTTGAGCTTTGGAGGCAGCAGCTGAACCAATGAGTTAAAACCCTGACCCTGATTTTGATTTTTTTTTTTTTTGGTACTGGGGATTGAACTCAGGTCCTTGCACTTGCAAGGCAGGCCACCGAACCACTGAGCTAAATCCCCAGCCTGATTTTGGTTTTTTGAGACAAGGTCCACTATGGAGCCCAGGCTGGCCTGGATCTCCAGGTGATCTTCCTTCCTTCCTGCAGGTGCGACCCTGTGCCTGGACTTCAAGGGCACTAAAAATACAAAGACTGGGTGCTCACTTTGGCAGCACATATACTAAAAACAGAGCAGAGCCTGGAGCGCACCATGCTCCCCAGTGCGGGTGCCTACTGGGACACGGTGGCTTCCTCTGTGCTCAACGTGCTGGCCACGCCGGGCTCCAGAAGCCTGGGCGAGTTTCCAGATGAGAACTTGACAGGTTGGCAAGCGCCCCTGTGCATGGCTCCAACCTGCCAGCCCAAACACACATGCTGGGCCTTCTGAGTGTTCAGCCACGCTCCAGGGACCCGGACTACACCTTCCAGAACCTTCCTGCTCAGGGCCCTGCCTTCTCAGTGTCCCGCATCCCCTGCTGCCTCTCAAAGAGAAGAGAACACGCTGCCTCTACTGACACAGGACTCCGATTCCAAAGCTTGGAGGAGCATTTTAAGGACAGCTGTGCTTTTGGAGGACTAGAGAAAGGCTGTGGAAAAGATGTTTCAGAAGCAAAAATACATCAGGGCAGTGGTTCTGCCACCTGCCTTGAAAGCACCAGGTCCCGAGTTCAATACCCGGTACAAAAAAAAAAAAAAAAGAAGAACCAGCAGCAAAAATACATCAGCCAAACAGACTGAAAGAAATTTGCCATCAACTTGGGACTAAAGGAATCACCGATGAAAATTTGGTTTCAGAACAAAGGACGAAGTGGCAGAATTCCAAAGATGAGGAGGTGCCCAGGTCCAAAGAGAGAATCTTGATGCTCAGCCTACCAAATGCATGGACTTTGAACTCATGATGCTATGACTAAGCCAGATACAAAAATACAACTGCTGTGTAATCCCATTTGTGTGAGGTATTGAGTCCACAGAGAGAAGGAAACACGGTTACTAGAGTGGAGAAGAGGGAGAATATGAATTAGTTTTGTTTAGTGGTGCTGGGGATTGAACACACAGCCTTCACACTCAACTACATTCCCAGCTCTCCTCATACTTTATTTTTATTTTGGTTTTTTTCAGATAGGGTCTCACTATGTAGTTGAGACTGACCTGGAACTCACTATGTAGCCCAGGCTGGTCTCGAACTCACATTGATCCTCCTGCCTCAGCCTCCCAAGTGCTGGGATTACAGGCGTGAGCCACCACACCTGGCCTTTATTTTTATTTTGAATCAAGGTTTCACTGAGTTGCTCAGGCTGGGCTTGAACTTGTGATCCTTCTGCCTCAACCTCCTGGGATCACAGATGTGTGCCACACCGCTTGAATTAGAGTTTAGTGGGCACAGTTTCATTCAGAGATGTGCGAAGTCCTGGAGATGGACAGAGGAGGATGCTACTCCACTGTGCACTTCCAGCTTATGGAAAAGGCAGGTATCATGTATATATTTTTGTTTTGTTTGGGGTACCAGGGACTGAATTCAAGACCTTGCACTTACAAGGCAGACATGGTGCCACTGAGCCAAATCCCTGGCCCTGGTTTCATGTACTCTGCAAAGGACTTGGATGGACATTTCCCTAAAGACATGTGAATAGCCAACAGCTCAACACAAGAAGATGCTCCATGCCGCTGGTCATTAAGGACACACACATTGAGATCATGGTGACACCCCACTTCACACAGACCACTGTGCCTTTGAGTCTGTTGCAAGATCCCACCTCTTCAGTTTATTGGGGATGAGAAGATTCTATCTCAATGCAGTCTCAATCCTGGTACACCAGGAAGAACAACTGATTAGCACAATCATGTCACCTTGGCTAAAGCAGCAATAACAACAGCAATAACAATACCATCAAACACAGCCTAGAAAATGACAAACTGTGGTAACAGTTAATTTGCCACCTTTAACCATATGAATTAAACTTGTGGTTATATAATCTAAAATGAACCAGAAAATTATATGCAATAAATAGGCACTTAATATGGTGATTTTACCCATAGGGGAGATTTAAAAGGGGTTGGGTGGGGGGAAGTAGAGAAATAGAAGTGATTAGAAGCAAGGCTGGAGGACAAAGGAAGATCACACAAACTTTGCGAAGCTGGTAAAGAAGACAGGAGGGGAAGCGCCGGGAAGTAGCCTGGGCCCCGATTCACCGCAGGAAGGAGAACCACGCCTGCTCCCGACCCAGCCGCTATCGCTCAAGCGCCGGGAGGTAGGCTGGGCCCCGATCCACCGAGGAAGTAGAGATAGAAGTGATTAGAAGCAAGGCTGGAGGACAAAGGAAGATCACACAAACTTTGCGAAGCTGGTAAAGAAGACAGGAGGGGAAGCGCCGGGAAGTAGCCTGGGCCCCGATTCACCGCAGGAAGGAGAACCCCGCGC